AATACTATAATACCATATTATAGTATATAATATATACACTATATAGTGTATATATTATATATACATATATATTATACAGTATACATAATATTCATTCATCAGTTAGACACTTGGACTGTTTCCATAATTCAGCTATTATAGATAATACTGCTATTAACTTTGGGATGAATGTATCCCTTTGAATTAGTATTTTTGTATTCTTGGGGTAAATACCTCTAACCAAAATTGCTGGATTGTAGATTAGTTCCATTTTTAACTTCTTGAGGAAACTCCATACTGATTTCCAGAGTGGCTGCACCAGTTTGCAATCTCACCAACAGGGCAAAAGGGTTCCCCTTCCTCCACATCATCAGCAGCATCTGTTGTTTCTTGCGTTGTTGATTGTAGCCATTCTGACTGGTGTGAGGTAACATCTCACTGTAGTTTTGATTTACATTTCCCTGATAATCAGTGATGTTGAACATCTTTTCATGTCTGTTGGCCATCTGTATATCTTCTTTGGAACACTGTGTATTCATGTCTTCTGACCATTTTTTAATTGGATTATTCATTTTTGGGGTGTTGAGTTGCATAAATTCTTTTTTTTAATGTTTTTATTTTTGAGACAGAGACAGAGCCATGAGTGGGGATGGGAAGCAGAGAGAGAGGGAGACCCAGAATCTGAAGTAGGCTCCAGGCTCCCGGCTCCCAGCTGTCAGCACAGAGCCCGATGCGGGGCTCAAACTCACTAACTGTGAGATCATGACCTGATCTGAAGTTGGACACACAACCCACCGAGCCACCCAGTGCCCTGAATTGCATAAATTCTTTATATATTTTGGATACTAACCCTTTATGAGATATGCATTTACAAATAACTTCTCCCATTTTGTAGGTTGCTTTTTTAGTTTTGTTGATTGTTTCCTTCACTGTACAGAAGCTTTTTATTTTGATGAAGTCCCAGTAGTTAATTTTTGGTTTTGTTTCCCTCGACTCAGTGACATATCTAGAAAGAAGTTGATATGGATGATGTCAAAGAGGTTACTTCCTGTGTTCTCCTATAGGAGTTTTATAGTTTCAGGTCCCACATTTAAGTCTTTAATCCATTTTGAATTATTTTTGTGTATGTAGTAAGAAACTGGTCCAGTTTCATTCTTCTACGTGTTGCTGTCCTGTTTTCCCAACACTATTTGTTCAAGAGATTGTCTTTTTCCTATGACATATTGTTTCCTGCTTTGTCAAAGATGAACTGACCATACAGTTGTGGGTTCATTTCTGGGTTTCCTGTTCTGTTCCATTGATCTCTGTGTCTATTTTTGTACCAGTACCATACTATTTTGATAAGTACAGTTTGCAATAGGACTTGCAGTTGGGAATTGTGATGCTTCCAGCTTTGCTTTTTTTTTTTTTTTTTTTTTTTTTGTCTTCAAGATTGCTTTGGCTATTCGGGGACTTTGTGATTCCATACAGATTATAGGATTGTTTGTTCTAACTCTGTGAAAAATGCTGTTAGTATTTTGATAAAGATTGCTGTAAGTGTATAGGTTGCTTTGGGTAATACATTTAACAATATTTATTCTTCCAATCCATGAACATGAACATCTTTCCATTTCTTTGTTTCCCCTTCAATTTCTTTCAACATTGTTTTAGAGTTTTCAGAATACAGGTCTTTTGCCTCTTTCATTAGATTGATTCCTAGGTATCTTACTGTTATTAGTGCAGTTGTAGATGGGATTGATTCCTTAATTTCTCTTTCTGTTGCTCCATTTTTGATGTATAGAAATGCAACAGATTTCTACACAATGATTTTGTATCCTGTGACTGTACTGAATTTGGTGGAATATTTCAGGTTTCTATATAGAGTATCATGTCATCTGCAAATAGTGAAAGTTTGATTTCTTCCTTGCTGATTTGGATGACTTTTATTTCTTTTTGCTGTCTGATTGCTGAGGCTAGGGCTTGAAGTACTATGTTAAATAGTAGTGGTGAGAGTGGACATCAGAGTGGGATATTAATTTTTTCTCAAAGCATTTTTGATTGAATGTAAGAATATTATTCAGAGGCGCCTGGGTGGCCCAGTCAGTTGAGAGTCTGACTTCGGCTTAGGTCATGATCTCATGGCTCTCAAGTTCACGTCCCCTATCAGGCTCTGTGCTGACAGCCTGGATCCTACTTCAGATTCTGTGTCTGCTTCTCTCTCTTCCCCTCCCCTGGTTGCATTCTGTCTCTCTCACAAAAATAAATAAACATTAGAAAATTTAAAATAAAATAAATGTAAGAATGTTATTCATGTAGATATATTTATTTTGTATCTACTTTTTGTATTTATACATTGGTTTTATTTTTTTTTTTTATTTTTTTTTCAACATTTATTTATTTTTGGGACAGAGAGAGACAGAGCATGAACGGGGGAGGGGCAGAGAGAGAGGGAGACACAGAATCGGAAACAGGCTCCAGGCTCCGAGCCATCAGCCCAGAGCCTGACGCGGGGCTCGAACTCACGGACCGCGAGATCATGACCTGGCTGCAGTCGGAGTTCAACCGACTGAGCCACCCAGGCGCCCCTATACATTGGTTTTAAAACAATTTTAGTTGATTCTCTTTGGTTCCCAATGAATCATCATATTCTAAATAAATAATTTTGGCACCTTGTTCTATGTCTTCCATTTCTATGAAAAGCTTCCAGGCTCTCTCCATGTTATTAAACAATGAAAAGTTTATACTGAAGCATAGGCCAGAGTACATGTCTGGACTGCGACCTTGAAGGGTTATCCAATGTATCTCTCTCATGTCCAAATATCCAGCATCATGGATGAATTATTCTTTTAAAGGAATTAAAGACATTCTTTAGCTCTCATTCGATGTATTTTTTCAAGTATATATATTTTATCTTTAAGAGACTTTCTGCTTACATTTCAGACTAGGCTTTTTATTTTTCCTTTATTCTTCATGGTTTAATAAGTTCCTTAAGGATTTAAGAAGATACACAGTTGGGGCGCCTGGGTGGCGCAGTCGGTTAAGCGTCCAGCTTCAGCCAGGTCACGATCTCGCAGTCCGTGAGTTCGAGCCCTGCATCGGGCTCTGGGCTGATGGCTCAGAGCCTGGAGCCTGTTTCCAATTCTGTGTCTCCCTCTCTCTCTGCCCCTCCCCCGTTCATGCTCTGTCTCTCTCTGTCCCAAAAATAAATAAATGTTGAAAAAAAAAATTTAAGAAGATACACAGCAAGCTGGACACAAATGTAAAGGAAAGCAGAGAAATCAGTACCCACCTGTGCCCTGCATAGAGTTTAGCATAGTGTCTGATATAGAGTTGGTTCTGCCGTAAACTTGAAGGAAAAGCCACTTCTAAAAGGCCTAGAAATAAAAAAAATAATAATACAACTTCTTAAATTGATTTGGATTACTAAGTCTAAAATGAAAAGGAACTTCTAACACTAACATCTTCACTTCTGGGTGCAAGAGAGAAACATCACTAAATGAAAGACTATCATTGATTAGAAAAGCAAATAAAAACTCTGTTATCAATTTAAAGTGACAGCATACTAAGGGAGCCTGGGTGGCTCAGTTGGTTAAATGTCCAACTTTGGCTCAGGTCATGAAGTCATCGTTCACAAGTTGGAGCCCCACGAAGGGCTCTGTGCTGACAGCTCAGAGCCTGGAGCCTGCTTCGGATTCTGTGTCTCCCTCTCTCTCTGTCCCTCTGCTGCTTGCACTCTGTCTCTTTCTCTCTGTCAAAAATAAATATTAAAAAAAAATTTTTTTAAGTGACAGCATACTACTGCCACATTTTCTTCAGCCACATCTTCAAGAACAAATAAGAGCATTGAACAATTACTGGGTTTTAAAACTGGAAAATTTCAACTGATGACAGATATCAATTTCTGCTCCAACTCTGGAAAATTTTTCATTTTCTCCTTAATTTATTCATTTCTCCTTAAGTTTTATGAGGAAAACTCTATTATTGATGGCTCCCTCTTTAGGCATCTTTCTCAAAGTGGGGAAAATTAATGTAACATATTTAATTCATTTCCTTTTCTTGCCAAAACATAAGCTACCACTACTTCATTATAGGAAATACAGAAAAATGACTGGAACTTCCATTTTAAAAAAAAGGAAAAGTGATGTGAGTCAAGAGATATTCAAGAAGAATAAAGTTAAATCTGACTTTGAGCATATCTTGCTGTGGCCCATTCCTTTAGACAATTAATGCTTAGGCTTCACGATCATGATTTATTTTGAGATGTCAGTTTTAAGATCATGAAGGAAAAATGTTCAAGGCAATGATAATGTCCCACTTTAAAGTTCTTGTGTTTCTGCTTAAATGGTTATAATAACACATGCTGTAGAAATTTTCTATATTTATTTTAGAATTACTGGTATGTGCATATGCATTATTCTTGGTAGGATGGGCATCTTCATATCTAGGGCATCCCACTATGATGACTGATTATGTTCCAGCTGGTCTTTCTCTACTTAGGAATGAAATTTTTTACTAGAGTAAATTTAATCAGACAATCTTGTTAAATGTGGCACTGGTCCCAATCAGTCGAAAGTTTTAAAAAGAAAAAAAATATATATATATATATGAAAAAAGACAAAAGCTCTAGTCTTTAATGTCATGAACTTCTCCAATGTGAGTTCTGATTTTGGACAGACTTTGAATCATATCTTGAATTCATCACTTACTGGCTCAATTACTTTCAAAGAGCTGTGGAATCCCTCTAATTCTTGGTTTCTATAAATTGGAGATTAGTATTAATAGCTACATTTCAGGCTTGTCATGAGGGTAAATTGAGATACTGTTTGCATGTATTTAGCCAAGTGTCCCCAGATAGGAAGTAGGCAATAAATGTTGCCTTTTGTTGTTACTATTATGTTTTCTAACCAGTGTCAAAGAATAATTTACAAACCAACCACCTGCATCATTATCTCTTGAGATACTTATTAAAATATAAACTCTAAGTCTCTCTCAGTACCAACTATTTCAAGATCTATAGGCTTGAGGTCTAGGAATCTGGATTTTTCTAAAGAATCCCAGGTGATTCTTCCGCACATTAAAGTTTGAAAACCATTATTTAATCCTGGAATTTACTTTTATTTTTAATGCTGTTTTCTTATCATATAACAGGAGTTTAAAGTCGCTCATTAGTAATTATATTAATTATGTTCTTAATATGCTATCTTCCTGGAAGATAATAAATGAGCACTACTAGGTTTGTATCGTAAAAGCCCAACCCTGGGGCACCTGAGTGTCTCGGTTGGGCGACCTACTTCAGCTTAGGTCATGATCTCATAGCTTGTGAGTGCAAGCCCCGTGCATCGGGCTCTGTGCTGGCAGCTCAGAGCCTGGAGCCTCCTTCCGGTTCTGTGTCTCCCTCTCTCTGTCCCTCCCCTACTTACACACTGTCTCTGTCTGTCTCTCTCAAAAATAAACATTAAAAAATGATAATAATAAAATAAAAAAATAAGAAGCCCATCCCCCGGGGTGCCTGGGTGGCTCAGTTGAGCGTTAGACTGCAGTTTATTTATTTATTTTTTTTCAACGTTTATTTATTTTTGGGAGAGAGACAGAGCATGAACGGGGGAGGAGCAGAGAGAGAGGGAGACACAGATTCGGAAACAGGCTCCAGGCTTCGAGCCATCAGCCCAGAGCTTGATGCGGGGCTCGAACTCACGGACCGCGAGATCGTGACCTGGCTGAAGTCGGACGCCTAACCGACTGCACCACCCAGGCGCCCCTAGACTTCAGTTTAAATCATGATCTCACGGTTTTTGGGTTCAAGCCCCATGTCAGGCTCTGCTCTGACAGCTCAGAGCCTGGAGCCTGCTTCACATGCGGTCTCTGTCTCTGTCTCTCTTTCTTTCTCTTTGTGCCTCCCCTGCTCATGCTCTCTCTCTGTTTCTCAAAAATAAATAAATGTTGAAAATAAAAATTTTTAAATGCCTATTCCCTTTCCTTCCTCCCAAGCTCAGGGCCATTGACAACTGCTTCCAACTTCCCTGGAGTCTCTCTGATCTCTTTGCTCCCTGCCCAGGACCACTTGGCTCTCTATAATGCACTTCTTAGGCACTCTTCTTTTCTAAATATTTGAGCTTTTAATCATTCTCTAAATGGTAACTTCCAAGCCTCAGAATGTCCAAGTTAAAATCCTCAGAAATATAGCCTCTACCTCTCCTTTTAGCCATATCTCCATTCTGTCTCTGACACAGTGTATTCCAATGAAAGAGAAAAATTCATCATTTCAAGTAACTTATTTTGCCATTGAATAACTTTAAATTTCTTCCCATTGACATCATGTCCACTAAGATCCAGCTTGAACGCCACTTCCTCCCAAGAGCTTTTCCAAATCTTTCCAGCTGGAAGAGATTACCTTCTCAAAGCCCTTAGTTACTAACATTCTTCTAACACTTAGATTTTTCTTTTTTGTATTATGTCCACTATTAGGGTTTTTTTTTTTTCTTTTTTTAAAATTTCTTACAGACAAAAACACATCATCTCTTTCTCTTCATCCCTCATGGTTCTTGGCATAATCCTGATCTTAAGATGGTTATTCTAAAGTAACCACTGAATGAATGAGTAGTAGCAACGTGTGGCTTGCCAACGTGTGGTTTTCTACAGACACTCAACTTATAAAATATTTATCTTTTGGCACTTTTTTAAAAGCTGATTTATTTATTTTGAGAGAGAGTGCACATGCAAGGTGGGAAGGGGCAGAGAGAGGGGGAGAGAGAGAATCCCAAGCAGGCTCCATGCTGTTAGTGCAGAGCCCCATGAGAGACTTCATCCCACGAACCAGGAGATCATGACTTGGGCTGAAGTTAAGAGTCAGAGCTTAAGCAACTCAGCCACCCTGGTGCCCCCCTATCTTTTGAAACTTTTAATTACTCTGGGAATGCAAGCAATTCTTGCTTTGTTGAATGTGTATGGATCTTGGAAATCATCTATCCAACACTAGCCCTGCAGTTGAGATACTTCAAACCACAATGACTTGCCCAAATCATACTGTTAAGGATGACACTAGGTCCAGTAGTATATTGGACTAATTCTCTTTCCTGATGATTTATACATTTATTTTGTCATGTATTAATATACTTACTTTTCACTTTGGTATAGTATATATTATACTATATATTATATATTGTATAAGCTTGTATACAGTATATATAATAGTATATATTATATATTGTATAAGCTTGTATTAGTTTATTTTATTGCTTATAATGCTGTATTATCAACAATCACAAATTTTTACTGTGATACAACAAGAAGCACTGATCCTCATGCTTAAGAGACAGTTTGTTGACTATGTTTCAGCTGAACTACATTGGGTTCTGCTTTAGGCTGTGTTTCAGCTGGACTCAGCTGCAGACTGACTGCTGCATTCAGGTTTTCTACATGTGTCTTCTTTGGGGACCATGCTAATGGGGCAGCGGCCACCTGCGGCTTTTCTTTCGTGGTATGTCACAGGGCCTCAAGAATTAGACTGAACTGTGACATTATCATCTATGCCCACGTTCCATCGGCCAAAGAAAGTAATTTGGTGAAGCCCAGTATAAATGCTTCTCATGTTGGCAGGGGACTCCAAGTTGACAGGGCAAAGTGCATGGATGCATAGGAAAAATAAGAAGAACTGAGAATAATGATCTACCTACCCCATGTCTCTATAATTAGTTTTTACTATGTTTACATTTATATTTCATACCTGCAATAGGGATGTATGTCAAAATAGTTCATTTCTAAAGATACAATTATAGATATTCCTTATAACAAGTGCACCTTGAAAATAAAATAAGTAAAACTTTACCTACATGGAAATTTAGTTTCTATATCTCCATTATTAAATTGGAAAAAAAAGGTGTATTCAATTTTGTCTTCATACTTGACAACGTTTTTATAAGATTGGCCTACACTAACCATTCTCTATTACTCAGTCCTGCCCGTGTGAGAAATTACAGTGATTTCATTCATGCTAGCAATGTAAATAAGTAAAACTCTACTTGAAGATATTAAGGGATTTGGGTTTTGTTTCCTATTTGCACCAGCAAACAGAAGAATGTAAAGGTATGATTTTTAATCTGCAGTGATAAAATTCATGAGAAAATTGCTTAAAAGATATAAATTTTTAGGGGTACCTGGGTGGCTCAGTTGAGCATATGACCCTTGATTTCATCTCAGGTCATGATCTTCCAGTTTGTTGCATCAGGCTCCATGTCCGGCTCTGCACTGACAGCACGGACCCTGCTTGGGATTCTTTCTCTCCCTCTCTTTCTATCCCTACCCTGTGCACACTCTTGCTCTCTCTCAAATAAGTAAACATTTTTTACAAAGATACAATTTTTTAATAATTACCCAGGTTGAATCTAATGCATGTGGACTAAAATCAGTTTCAGTAAAACCTTCCTTCAAGGAAACCTCATGGAGCATGTTTACATAAATACACTGCAGAGTATTTTACACATGTATGTTGACTGCATGCGAAAATGATATCATTAAACAAAATATTCAACTGTTTGCCTTCTTGAGTGATAACTAGTGATTGCCTATAGTCTAGGCAAAATAGTATGTAAGAATAATTTGTTAGGCTCTATTATGCAGTCTTATTTCAAAAAGCTTACTACTTACCTATGATACTTAATAAGATCTGTAACTTTGCATTTAGCTGTACATTTTCTTACTAATTCTGGGATGGTGAGGGGTGCCTGGGTGGCTCAGTCATTTGAGCATCTGACTCTCTATTTTGCCTCGGGTCATAATCCCAACGTCATGGGATTGAGCCCTGCATTGGGCTTTACTCTGAGCTTGGAGCCAGCTTGAGATTCTCACTTTCTCCCTCTGTCCCTCTCCAGCACTCCCACTCTCTATCTCTAAAATTGAAAAACAAATAATTCCGGTATAGGCAAACCTTTAATTCCTTTCTAGTTCCTTGTATAGAAGACAGAACAGTTTTGGAAAACTCAAAAAAAAAAATAAAAATTTAGGGCTTAATTCTTTTTCTTTTGGAAATTAATATGTAACTAGAAATTGTTAAACAATGGGTTACTTAAGACCTCAGGTCTGAAAATTCAAGGTAAAGGGTTGTTTAAGAAGTTTTATTGCCACAAATACAAAGATTCAATAATGAATTATCTTTAACTCTCAGTTATTTTTTTATCTGTTGGGTTGCCTACCAAAAATCTTTAGCCCAGCTTTCTTCTAAATTTGATGTTGTTATGGGCCTAGCAATTCAGATTTTGTTTTTCTTTTGCCACATACAGTTTAATAACTGCCAGTTCTTTTTTTTTCCAGTTCTGAATAATGTAACCCATCTGATGTGCTATTTGTCCCCAGATGCCATGAATAAAGAATAGGTAAGAAAGATGCCACAGGGAAATGAACCCCCAAAACTATCATCATATCATTAAAGAGGGGGCACAAACAATTCATTTATTCCAGCCTAAATAGTTTTAGTATCTGCTGTCTCTGTATGGTACATTGAAGAGGCAGGAAGTATGTTCTAATTTGAAGTAATTTGTAATGAAAATAAGTTGTTTATTTCTGTCTACTCAGTATTGTATTGGTTGATTTCAACTAGGGTTCAGGTCTACATCAGGCAAGAGCTATGTGCATGTTACTCTGAGACCATAGTCAACTTTGACAGTGTTGGTGCTTTAGAAAGTTCCTTGGCTTTCATTAAAGTCATTTATTCATATTCATAACGAAAATTGTTCCAATTTTTCAGTACAAAGAATGCCGAACTGGTGAGTAATACTACCTTTACCGAAGTACGTATGTAATGATAAGAAAGAGGATGTCTCAATCTGGTTTTTAAATTTCATTTTTCATAAAATGAGGAATTAGGGGCACCTCGGTGGCTCAGTTGGTCAAGTGTCTGACTTTGGCTCAGGTCACAATCTTGCGGTTTGTGAGTTCAAGCCCCGCGTTGGGCTCTGTGCTGACAGCTCAGAGCCTGGAGCCTGTTTCAGATTCTGTGTCTCCCTCTCTCTCTCTGCCGCTTCCCCCTCTTATGCTCTGTCTCTCTGTCTCTGAAAAATGAATAAACATTAAAAAAATAAATTTAAAAAAATAAAATGAGGAATTAGAACTGTATCAGCTCCCAGGTCCCATCAGATAATAGGATGAAGTAGTAAGGAAGAATTATGTTTAGTCATTATTTTTATATACCAGTATGCATAATGATCAAAATACAGAGCATATTCAGGATGGTCCTAAGTGTAGAACATGTGACAGGATTATTTGTTGAGATACTAATTTGTGTTTCATTTTCATTGCTATGGAAGGATCAGAAAAAAAAAATAGCCATTTTTACTTAGTACCTCTATTCCACTCCTTCCCTCATTTCAGAAAGTAGCCTAGAATTTATATTACCTAAAGATAAACTTCCCTTTGAGCACTTGTTTCAAAAGCCTCAGTTTTTTAAGGTGTCATGCTGGACTCTGGAAAGAAAGGCAGAAGGAATGAGCAAGATACAGAGGAGAAGCATCAAAGTAGAAAAAGAAGATTGTCTCAAATAGGAAGGTGATGAATGGCTCTTACACCCGTGATTAACAGTCCACACATCATTCCTTATAGAAACCCTAGAAGTGCAGAAGAACCTGGGGAAGTTTAGTTGAGTACTTGGGTCTTCTAAGGAGGCTTCTCTTGAAGTAGTTGACAAAGCTTCCTTTGACTGGCATTACCTACCTACTTTCAAGAAGTAGGCTTGCATATTGAGTATGTCTTTAGGAGTCATGTTGACTGAAGTTGCCTTCCCCCATCTTCCAGTCGTCCCATGAAACTCCTTGATTCCAGTGTGGTTCTAAAGAGACAGATAGATGGGGCTAAAATGACTGAATTTGGATCTCTTACTAGCCAAGCAAGAAGAAGCTTGGAGTCAGATTCAATTTTATTTAATGATGAAAAAGTTAATGTAACATTTATTCCTTGTGAGTTTAGGAACTAAAAATTATAATGGCAAGAAATATTAAGCAGTAAAAAATTCTTTGAAAATGAACTATAAACATAACTGAATAATTAAATTAGAATTATTTTCCTTCCCCCTGAACATGAAAAGTTAAATTCAAACTATATATAGGGAAATAGAGTGAAAATAGTGTTATTGTTTGTAGAATGGATCACTGTAGATAAAAATTCTCTAGGATTTTTAAATACATGGAGAAATTTAAAGATCTCAAACTTATTTTTATAAACCTAAGGGGTAAAAATTCTTAAATTCAGCCTTTTTTAGCACTTATAGATGTACATCACTACACATTCAAGACATCTGCCTCTACAAAGCTTAGTTATTTTAGGATATAGCCCAGTGAACTTGTCAGCATGATGTAGTGGTGAGAAAAACATTCTACTGTGTGTCAAGTATCCTGACTCTAGTCCCAGTTTCTGACCTTAACCCTGTGAATGTGGTTACATCACTGAACTTCTCTGATTCTCAGTGATATCATTTATAAGTTTAAAGGATGGTGATGAGAGATTCCAAAGCTTCAGCCAACTTGAATTTTCTATTGTAATTTTTCCAAATACTTTATTTTCCTGGCGTTTAGTTGAATATCCTAAGAACCACCATCTTCACTGACATTCATGTACTAATATTGCCAGTTGAAGGAGTCACTATAATGATTCTTGCATCAGCTAACAATTTCAGAATTCTCTTTTCTTATTGTCTTCAGAGTCCATTTGAATTGCACAGCAAAGTATCAATACTATGACTTTAAACTCACATCAGTATTTGAACAAAGGCAACATTCCGCACCTCTTTTTATTCACAAGATGCCCTCCAAATGGTTCGTTTCAAAGAAAATCCACAAAGACTCTCTTCCACTAAAATTATTTAACAAAATTATGTTGCCAGCATTGATGACCTACACAAATGATGAAACCCGAAAGTATTTTAGGCATTGTCACTGTCTTTGAAATAAGCATCATCCTTTAGTTTATATATTGAGTTTAATTCACTAAATGTAAGGAATGTATGCTTGTTTTAGTTTTTTTTTTCTTTTTTTTTTTTTTTTTTTTTTTTTTTTTTTTTTTTTTTTTTTTTTTTATTTTTTTTTTTTTTTTTTTTTTTTTTTTTTTTTTTTTTTTTTTTTTTTATGAAACATCAGTAAGATTTCATTAATTGTAGGAAGTGGTAGGCCAAGGCAAGAAAGAGTATATATTTACATCATTTCCTGGTCTTCAGCATCAGAAGTAATGATACCATACTTACATCAATGTTTAAAAAGGAGGCTTCATTTTCTGCATATGCACATTTTAAACTGAACAGAAGTTTATACTTTAGAAATATAGGGAGACTGGTAGGGAATTTCTGAACGAATTTATTAGGAGGTGAAAAGTGGTAGTTCAAGCCTATTTTGTTTTCTCAACACGTTGCATGTTTTTATTTATTTTTTTTTCTTTTTCTTTTATGCATTCTTATGTTTACTTTGTCTTTATTAAATTTAACACTAGAAAAACTAAAAACAATATATATAGCTTGCAAGATTCCAAGTAAGAAACATAGATGGAATACCAAAGTATACAGGAAGACATATTAAGCAAAAAACAAGAAACAAAACAAAAAAAAACCCCAGTATTTATAGAAACGTCAATTTCAATTAGGATTTCTAGAAAATGTGTCGGTCTCAGAAGGGGTAACAACTTAAACTAATAAAACACGTCAGAGAAGCTGCAAAATCATATATTGTTTTGATTTTTGATTTGAATATAGTTGACACACATGTTACATAAGTTTCACGTGTACAACATAGTGATTCAACCTCTCTGTGTGCTATGCTATGCTCTCTACAAGCATAGCTACCACCTTTCACAATACAATGTCATGGCAATGTAACTGACTATATTCCTATGCTGTACTCTTATTCCCGTGGTTTATTCATCCTATAACTGGAAGTCTGTATCTCCGCTTCTCCTTCACCAGTTTTGCCTATCCCACCATCTTCCACCCCTCTGGAGAAGCTTTTTGTTCTCTGTATTTTTAGGTCTGATTCTGCTTGTTTGTTTGTTTCCTTGTTGTTTTGTTTTCTAGATTGTACATATGAGTGAAATCATTATGGCGTTTTTAATTATCAGTCTGACTTACTTCACTTAGCACAATACCTGCTAGGCCCATCCATGTTGTCACAAATGGTATGATCTTATCCTTTTTATGTCTGTGTAATATTCCTGTATGTGTGTGACCTCTTCCTTATCCATTCATCTATCAATGACACCTAGCTTGCTTCTATATCTTGGCTATTATAAAAATGCTTCAATAAACATAGGGTTATATATATGTTCTCAAATTCATGTTTTTGTTTTCTTTGAGTAAATACCCAATAGTGGAATTACTGTATCCTATGGTATTTCTATTTTTAGTTTTTTGAGGAAACTGTGTACTGTTTCCCACAGTGGCTGAACCAGTTAACCTACCCACCAACAAGGCGGGAGAGTTTCTTTTTTTCCATATCGTTGCCAATATGTGTAATTTCTCATCTTTTTTGTTTTTGCCATTCTGATGGTTGTAAGGTAATGTCTCATTGTGGTTTTGATGTGCATTTTCCTGATTATCGATGTTGAACATCTTTTCATATGTCCGTTGGCCATCTGTGTTTTGTTTGGAAAATGTCTATTCAAGTCCTCTACCCATTTTTTAATGGGATTGTTGTTTTTGTTTTTGTTTTTGTTTTTGTTTTTGGTGTTGTGTAAGTTCTTTGTTTTGGATATTAATTGCATATAAAATATATCATTTACAAATATTTTCTCCCATTCTCCATTTTGTTTTGTTGATGGTTTTCTTCACTATGCATATCTTTTTATTTTGATATAGTCCCACTAGTTTATTTTTGCTTTTTTCCCCATTCCTTAGGAAAATCTTAGGATTTTTATGGTATCAAGTCTCATATCTAGGTCTTTAATTCATTTTGAGTTTATTCTTATATATGGTATAACACAGTGGTCTGGTTCATTCTTTTGCAGGTAGCTGGCCAGTTTTCCCAGGACCATTTATTGAAGAGATTGTCTTTGCCCCATTTTATACTATTGTATCCTTTGTCATAGATTAATTGATCATATAAGCAAGGGTTTATTTCTGAACTCTCTATTGTATTGATCTATGTGTCTAGTTGGTGCCAGTTCCATACTGTTTTAATGATGACAGCTTTGTAGTGTATCTTAAAATCTGGAATTATGATAGATGCAGCTTTGTTCTTCATTCTCATGATTGCTTTGCCTACTTCAGGGTCTTTTGTGGTTCCATACAAATTTTAGTACTTTTGTTCTAGTTCAGTGAAAAATGCTATTGGTATTTTGATAGCATTGCATTGAATCTGTAGATTGCTTTGGGTAGCATAAACATTTTAACAATATTATTCTTCCAGTCCATGAACATGGAATATCTTTCCATTTGTTTGTGTTGTCTACAATTTCTTTTATCAGTGTTTTATAGTTTTTAGAGTGCAGATCTTTCACTTCTTTAAGTTTATTCCTAGGTATTTTATTTATTTATTTTTGGTGCAGTTCTAAGTGGAATAGTTTCCTTAATTTCTCTTTCTGTTACTTTGTTATTAGTGCATAAAAACATTGCTTTCTGAGTATTAATTTTGTATCCTGAAACTTTACTGAATTCATTTCTTACTTCTAGATTTTCTACTGTAGTTGTACATAGTTGTACATAGTTGTACATAGTAGAAAATCTGTTATAGATTTTCTACTGTAGTTGTACAACTTATGAGTTTACCTTTCTTAACAATATGGATGCTTCATTTTCTTTCTTTCTTTCTTTCTTTCTTTCTTTCTTTCTTTCTTTCTTTCTTTGTCTGGTTGTGGTGCCTGGGGCTTTGGGTATTATGTTCACTAAAAGTGGAGAGAATGAGCCTTTTTGTTTTGTTCTTGATCTTAGAGGAAAAGCTCTCAGTTTTTCACCTTTGAGTATAAGGTTAGCTGCAAATTTTTCATATGTGGTTTTTATTATGTTGATGTATAGTCTCCCTATACCCACTTTGTTTTTATCATGAACAAATGTCAAATTTTGCAAAATGCTTTTTCCGCATCTATTGAGATGATCACATGATTTTTATTTTTGTTTTTAAGTTTGAACATAATCTTAAATAACGTTTTTTTTTTAAATTCCTCCACATTTTATGTATATGCTGTCATGTCTTACATATTTTTAAAAAGTTTATTTATTTTGACAGTGAGCATGCACATGTGTGTGAGTGGGGGTGGGGCAGAGAGAGAGGGAGAGAGAATCCTAAACAGGCACAGCCCTACCAGGACAGAGCCTGACATGGGGCTGGATTCCACAACTGTGAGATCATGACCTGAGGTAGACTCAGAGGCTTTGACGACTGAGCTACCCAAGTGCCCTATTTTATATATTTTTACTCATAATTTTCTTGTTCTTTATTTTCGAGTATATTCTCTGCCTCCCCATTTTGCTTGACATTCTGTGTTGTTGCTGTAGATTAGGAAGAGTAGATACTTGTAAACTTGGAAGAATGGACTGTGTCTCCATCTCTCTTGCTTTCTCTCTTTTTTCTCTCTTGTATCTTTTGCCATTCTGTCTTTTGTTGTGCATAGGCTGTTCAGTCAGCCCTCAGTTCTTCAAGAATTGCTCTCTAAATGGGTATAATATGATGCTGTGTTCTATGGAGGAGGTGAGTTCACAGTCTTTCTACATCACCATCTTGGACCAAAACACTTATTTATGATTTTCTTTAAAAAAAATGCCCTTTTACAGAGGCATCTGTTAGACATGTGTCCACTGCTAACTGAAGACCCAGAATATCAAAGGGCCAGCATTCTTTCAAATTTAAAGACTAG